TTTAAACATCCATTCAAACTTTTGTTCTCGAATACTTAGAAATCCAAGATGAAGCAAAAAAGAAAAGTGTTTTTGTGTAAATATTTGCAAATAAATAACATTATCTCCCCCGTCGGGACCCACCTTGATGTGGTGGGGAGCTTGCGGGCCTTTAGTTAGGTCTTACCAAGCGGTCCCAACCCGGCTGTGACCTTAACCGGTTGAAGTCGGAGCTTCAAGAGCCGCCCTTGCCTTAAGCAGCTGGGGTCGGCAGGTTGGAGGTAGCCTGCTAGCGCTAGCAAAGCCCTAGTGGAAGGAAAACCACGATAAAAAATTCTGAGCTGGCCCTTTCTCTGAATAGGTGATAGGAGAGAGGGCCGGTAAGGTCGGAGGCAGCCTGCTCCCGCTGAGCGAATGCCCTAGTGGAAGAAAAACCATGATAAAAAAAACCCTTAACCCCCAACTCGTAAAGGGGGAGTACTTGGCACGGAGGTCAGTGAAACGTGTCTACGAGGACCCTGTGGAGGACCAGGCAACCTTCCACAGTAGCCTATTTTGGCAGCCTTCACTGCGGTACGCTGCACTGCCGCAGTGCGACTTTTATATCATGCATACTCGTGGGAATCATATGGAGAACCTCAAAAAACCAAACCGACTTGATACAATGGACAAAACAAACGCATCGGAAAACAGCAACAATGGAGAATATGGAAAACTTAAATACAAATATGGCATTAGGAACACCTTAGAGAAAGCGGGGTCGTCTACTTCTACTGAAAAGGTAAATTGTTCTCGTTGTTACGATTTACAATATTTCCAACACAATTTTTCTTCTAAATTCGTAGATGTTTATTGTGTATGCACTATGCAAACTTAAATTTTATTTTTAAATTATGATTTTCTATACACTTATACACATAATATTATATATTATGGAGTATAAGAAAAATAATGTCTGAAAGTCGAAGACACTATATTAATGAAAGTCCATCTGGACTTATTTAAGGCCCTTGCATATACCGGCAAGAACGTAGCTGTAGCTACCAACAAGACCTTACCTGACGACAAGCGAAAGCGATCATCTTATGAATATGATGACCATCATAATAGAAAATTGTCTCGAACCTCAACATCAAAACTCGATATCCATCATGTAATTGGTAAGTAATATACACGTCATCGACCCAAAGACATAATAACGAAATATACCTATACATATACCTAACCTATACGGTCGATATCAGTGCTTCACTATTTTAAAGTCTAACCAGAGCGATGATTGTATTGATTTTTTCATGGTGTTCGCAGTGTTGAGAATAGATACAAAAAAAACATTTAATTTACGGACTTTTTAATTAAATTTACAATTTTCGGAGTTACGATCGTAGAAATAATTAGTTATATAGATATATATGTTACGGTCCAAGTAGAAAAATGGCCATTGTAAACATTGAAAATTAGTTCTATACAATGACAGAGTTTCAAGCCTGATTCCGTGTGAATAATTATATACATACACGATAGATGGGGTCCGATCACTGTTTCTTATTGTCCGTACATTTTGATGCGTAAATTTTGTTAATTCTACTAAAATCAAAACTGCCCTTCTTTCATTTGGTAATAACTTCATTGTTAATATCATATCTAGACATCAAGCCGAACGATAATGTACCAAATAGTAATGACAAGTCAACTATTGTTAAATCTAAAGCGGATTTAGTAACTAGTATAATACGTCCCTATCGTCTGAGCGTACCACCTGATGATAGCGACAAAAAGATTAAAAAAGTAACAAAAGATAATTATTATTTCATTCAGTATTTATTAATGTATTATTATTTTTTACAGGGAAAGTATGGAAAACCACCCATTTCTGGATCGAAATACGTACTCGATGTCAAGGAAGACGGTAATGTTCCCCTTTCACTCCCTAGAGCTGCGGGGACAAAAAGAAAAAGAGTATTGACTGAGACCAGTGACAGAAAACTTAAAAAAGTAATAAAGATAAATTGTTATTTTTTTCAGTATGTATATATTAATATATTGTAATTTTAATAGAAAAAGTATGAAAAACTATCCAATGTGGGTTCAACGAATCAACGTGATGTCGCGGAAGACGGTAATGTCTCTCCTTACTTCTCGCAACCCCCTCCCCCCAAATACATCGTCCAATTAGAGGTAGTGTTCAGTGGGCCGGTGGGACACTGCTATCTCCAAGGAGAAATATTTAAGCAAAGTGCTGCACTTAATGCACTAAGTGTGAACGGGATATGATCTGGTGTGTTTAATTTTGATCCATTGGATGTTGCATGTTTATATTTGTGTTCTTTTGAGTATATTAATCAAACATAGTATGTATAGATACCAAGTACCCATATTATATCATACATTCATACAGCAATATTACATTTATTTGTTGAGTGCATATATCAAACAGCTTTAACCTTTTAAGGAGCGAATTAAAAATACACAGGCGTTACACAGAGAGCAGATTACGAAAATTGAAAAAATTGAAAAAAAAAAACCCAATTCCGAAGCAAATATGACTAGTTAATAATGATATTTAAGTCACACTTTTATATTTTTATCGATGACATATAAATACGTCTTAAATAAGTGTAGAATGTAGATCTATCATGTTTAGGGCGCATGTAAACTCCGCCAGTGAAAAAAATAGTATAAAACAGTATACACTCTACAATTAATATAACATAAGTACAGATAATTTATCAAACAAAAAATAATAATTTTATAATAATAACTATTTTTCTTAAATAAGTATATGACACAAAATATAAAAAACTTAAAAATAAAAATAATAACTGTTAGAGCAAATCATACAAATTATTGCAATGGCCAGCGTATTATGTCAAAAAATAATGATAGACAATTGTAATAACTAGTAATCAAAAAATATGTAGATATATTATGTTATTATGACATTAAAATATGTTATAATACTTATAATAATTTGAACTGTGAACTAAAATTATGAGATACTATTTGTAGAAATTTAAACCATTAAGTCTAATTTAAATCCATTATTACAACTATTTATTGTGTATAGCTTTCTCTAAACCAATCATTTTTTTTTTTCATTTTGAATTTTTGAGTTTACTTAGTAGAGAAATATTCAAATATCATATAGTTTTACAAAAGGAAGTCATTAATAATAGCGGAGTTCCCATATACCTATTCCAGGTAAGAAAATAAAAGTGGAGGAGTTAAAATTACCCGGTATTCTGGCAGAGTTTACAATCGCCCTACAAATAGGTTAGCTTATATTATTTATAAATTATAAGCAAAATCATATAAAATAAAAAATACACATAGGCAGTAAACGTATATATATAAAACATCATTTAGATACATCTTTTGAAAACGTATATTATATTATACGGCAGTACAATCTCGTAAAATACGGATTTATTAAATTATAATATTACTTTACAGAATAATAAAATTTTCAATCTCACATTAAAAACAATGTCGATAATTATTTAATTTAATATTATTAATTAATTTATTATTTTATTTCATTTCATAAATACATATAAACACTGGGCCACACAGAAAATTTGGGCTATATATTAGAATACAATTTAAATGTTTTCATTCTATTTTATTACTAGGTAATATTAATATTACTAGTATTATTAATCCGTTTAAGACAAACTCCATAGGACATTAGGACTGGTTAAAAAACGTATAGTTCTGGAAATTGTTCATCAAATTACAGGATAAATAAGCATATAATATTATTATTAAGCGAGATTACTTATTTATGCTGTAATTTTTAACAGTATTAATATGTGTTCTGCCATGTACTTTAACAATTTATATTAGTGACTATTTATGCTGTACTTAACTGTTTTGGCTTATTAACCAGTCCCAGTAGTTAGTTATGAATATGAAATACAATTTTCAGTTCTGGAAAATATGATCCGACCTGTTGCATCAGACTTACCATCTGGAGTTGTGAACGGGGATATCAAAATATGTAAGCGGACTAGAACAACGGAAAAGAATGTAAAATTAAAATTATTTATTTTATTTTAATATTACATGAAGTCTTATATTTCTATAATGTACATTTGTAGAGTACAATTCAAACAACAGTACGATGTCCTGGTGTAATAAAGTTTGGACAATTTGAAGTGGAGACATGTTATTCATGCCCATTCCCGCAAGAGGAGGATTCTCCGAGATTAATATTTTGTGAATTTTGTTTAAAATACACTAAATGTCAATCGATTTTGGAAAGACATATGCGACACTGTAATTGGAGAACACCACCAGGCACAGAGATCTACCAAAGTGGAGATTTAAGCGTTTTTGAAGTAAATTATATTTATGAAACAATTCACTAGAGATAAACTACCTACACAATTTTTTATTTATTTTTCAAACAGGTTGATGGAAAAGTAGACAAAACTTATTGCCAAACACTATGTCGATTGGGGAAATTATTTTTGGACCTAAAAACTCTGGACTATGGCGTTGAACCGTTCTTATTTTATATTGTGACGAAAAACGACGGTTTTGTAAGTGTACCTACCTATATAAAAACATTTTAAATTGTAATTTTTGAAGTGAAAACATCAATTAGCAGGGTCTGCCTTTCTCTCGAATTATGTGACTAAACGCGTAAAAGAATCATTGAGCTATACTATAACAAAATATTTAACGCTGTCAATCCAAATTATCTTAAGTCCATACATTAATATATATATTTATGTGTATGTGTGTTTTTGTGTGTGTCTGCTCCCAATTAGAAGTCCACCCATTATATAACTTTAAATTTTAATACAAGTCAATAGTCCAAATTTATTAGTAGAAGTATTGAATTCTGTCTACCGTCGCAAGACGGTAAATCACTTTTTATTTATTTTTTATATTTGTCTACCATAATTATATTGTAATAATGTTCAATTAAAAATGTTAAGGGCTGTCATTTGGTTGGTTATTTTTCAAAACTAAAACAAAATTAAGAAAATTTTAATATAGCTTGTATCGTTATCATGCCACAGTATCGAAGACAAGGGTATGGACGAATTCTCATCGAATTCAGTAAGTGAAAACTATATGGACCTAAGCGTTTTAGCATATATCATGTTTAGTTTATTTTTTCAGGTTACCTTCTATCTAGAATCGAAAGACAACCGGGAACCCCGGAAACACCCCTTTCCGGCTTGGGAAAAATGACGTACGATGCATATTGGAAAGGTGTTATTCTAGAATATTTAGATAAACACAGAGGCATTGAAAACATATGCATCAATGATGTTAGCAGTGAAACTGGTAATTTAAAAAACATTTTATTTGAAACTTTTTATTCAGAATTTTTACAATCATAATATTAATAACAATTTTAATTTAGGTTTAATGAGACAAGATATTATAGACACGTTCAAATCTCTACACATGGTTGCGGAAATCTTTAAAGAAATGACCATATGCATAGACTGGAATGTTGTAGATTCCCACATAAAGAAGAAAATTGAATTAAAACAAATTCATATCGACCCAGATCGATTGAGGTGGACACCGTCAAATTTACCGGATGGCCAAGTTAGTTTTTTATGATAAAAAAAAAAAAAACGATTTTAAATAATTATAATATTTTTTATTAGGATAACCAACATCTTGAAGAATCGGTTTTCATCAAGTGCATTCCAGGTGGCTAACCTAGTGTACCTGTGTGCTGCTGAAATGTATATTGTATCCGGATTACACGCGGCTCACGAATGCCGCGATGGCAGACCCGGTGGCGTTCTGCGCACTGTTCGATACCACACCCGAGTCCACTCACTTGTACGTTATGAAGAACCGGCTAGCGGACGCCAAACGGGTGCTGGTCTGGTTGAGCGGCGAAGACACCGGCAGTACGGTAGACAATGCGATTTACGCTATGGTCGAATGCATATGCAAGGAAATGCAACGCGTCCTTCACCAAGCCGGTCAACGACTGGGTAAGATTTAAAGCGCTCATCGTCGTACAGGGCCTGTCCGTGTTCCGGGTGACAGCCGGCGTCACTTCGATCATATAGTTCACGTCCATCACGTTTGCCGAGATGCACGTGGTCGTCCACGCTTACAAGCTGTCGCGGACAGGTGCACCGCGTACGACGTAACCGATTACGGGTGGCTGTGCGTGGTTGTCGTTGGCGGGGTGTCAGTCGAGCACATAATCGGACTTGGCTAGCTGCTATCCACCATCAACTGCGAGATGTTCTAGGCCAACACCCGGTCCATACCTAACCGCGTGGTCATCACTATCACGCTGACCGTCACGATGTTCCTGGCCCTCAAGATTTACCCCGTGCTGGTGGACGGCGGTGGCATTATGTACCGCAACTATCAGATGTCGTCGCTGTTTGGGCTCAAGTCCATAGTCACCTGCTTCCTGTGAACGAAGGCACTCGATCTAGTTCAACTGCTGCTGTTAGAGGTGAATGTGGGTGCATGGCGTTGAAAAGTCGATTTGTACGAGTACGAGTCGAGCCCCCAAACGATAATTCTACGATTTTGGACTAGCGTCGCGTGTGCAGAACGTTATACAAACATATTACATATAATATACAATACAATATGATAATAGAAGTGGTGGGACGATCTGCTGCAGGAGAAGGACTCGCCCTGCGTTAATATTTTTTGCGACGAGTGCATTTGTCCGGAAATACTGCAGTCGTCGTCGTCGTCGTCAGGCACTTTAATATTAATTGTAAATAAAATTATGTATATCAATCAATTTGTCTTTATTTTAAATATTGAATGTACATGATATTTTATATACATCCAAGTAAATAGCCTGTTTGTTCTATTATAATTTAAAGTAAAAACTTTTTACATTCGTCATTTTTTCTTTACTAATTCATAATATAATCAAAATATTTTAAGTACCTAATTTATTGTCTTTTTATTTATTTATTAATTATAATATTATGTCATCTATCTTTTGATAGATCATCTATTTTTCAAAATAAGTACACTGATGTCGGTTGATTAGTGATTACTGAGAAAAAAATGTTAATGACCAAATCATTAATAATTACTTATTATTAAGGTTAAATAAACATTACATCTACTGTTTTATATACTGGGTAACTTTATTAATATTTAATTAATGACACATAATTATTTATTATATTTCGACTATAAAATACCTACACAAAGTAAAAACCAGTGGCGTAACGATAGGGTGGCATGACGGGCAATGGGCCACGGGCCCACGACTCTAGAGGTAAGGTTCAAGAAAAAAATAGTACATTCAAAAACAAATCACCATTAGTGAAATTTATAAATACGATTCTGTTTAAAAATATATGTATATTCTTGTATAAAATAAAATAAATTTAATAACTGATCACGATTATATTTATAGATTATTTTATTTACCAGTCCGTCGACATTGTCGATATTAATATTATTATATTGTTATTTGTAGAATGGAAATAAAAATGAGTCAGTCAGTTGATTTAGATCAGGGGTGGCCAACTTTGATAGACCTGCGATCGACCTCCGAGTTTTTCTAGGTGGTCGCGATCGACCAAAAAAAAAAAAAAGGTTGCCAATAAACAAAAAATATATTATGTGTACAGGCGTGTTACACTTATTTTATTTCTTTTTATTTACAATATAAATTCACAGTTTAACACTATAACACTACACGTATTTTAATATATTTGATTACAGATTATGATTTTTAACTTATTACTATTTACTACTATAACTATACTACTACTTTTATTATTATTACTATTATTATGTTTATTTAATCATTCAATGAGATGTTTGTGCTTGCATTTGATTGCTACTTTTTTGGCAGTCATTATCTTTTTCTAAATCTAATTTTTATATTCGTGGGATATACAAAGATACACAAATTGTTCAAAAATTTAAGAAAATGCGAAAGGGTGTCGCGATCGACTTGAATTCATCTCGCGATCGACCGGTCGATCGCGATCAACCGGTTGGCCATCCCTGATTTAGATAATGCATCCAATTTATTAAAAAACTGTTATGAACAATTAAAAGAATATAGATGTAATTTTAATGATCTGTTGGAAGAAGCAAATATAGTTGCTAAAAGTTGGTCTATCTCTACAGAGTTTCAAAACAAACGTCGTAAAGTTGTAAAAAGATATTTCGATGAACTATGTAGGTACTGATATGCGTTTAACTTGTCCAGAAAGCTTATTTTGTGTAACTATTTTTAATAGAACGTTGGATATATTAATAAATCAAATAAGTAAACGTTTTTCAAGTTTTCATGAATTAATGCTAAATTTCACATGTTTACAACCATCTTTTCTTACGTCAGCAACAGATTTAGAGCTTTTAAATGAAGCTACGAAGTTGGTAAACAAATATGATAAAGACATATCAAAAACATTTACAAGTGAAATTTTAGCTGTAAGATCAACTCTTAAAAATCAAATAAGTTAACTTAATTCAACTAGAGATCTCGCTCAACTTTTAATGGTGAAAAATCATTCTTTAACAGCCAGTTTCCCAGAAGTATGTACTGCTCTTTTATTATTTTTGACAATTCCTGTTACATCTGCAAGCGCGGAACGGTCATTTTCGAAACTAAAAATTATCGATGGCATAGTGCACACATGTTGTAAGTGCAAAATTCAGATAAATGAGTTTTTTGCATGGCTGTATTGCTGACAACTTTCTACATATTGTGTACAAATGTTGTAAGTGTATAGTACATATTTAGTCTGCTAGAGGTCTACGCGTTTGTTGTAGTGCATGTAATCTGCGTGATGTGAAATTACAATTGTCGTTCTCCTGAACAATTACAAAAATGTCACTTACAACATGTGTGCACTATGCCATCGTTATTAAAGGATATTTAAGGAGTACAATGATGCAAGATCGTTTAAGTGGCCTGGGCGTTAATTTCAATCGAACAAGAAACAGCCCGAGAAGTTGACTTTGAAAATTTAATCGATATGTTTGCCGAACAAAAAGCAAGAAAGAAGAAATTTTGAATATTTAAATTTTGTATTGCTTTGTATATTTTTTAAACCAAAAAAATGTTTAATAAAATTTTACTATAAAAATAATATTACACTAAACATGTTTTTTATTGTTTGTAACCTTAAAGGGTAAAATTTTGTAGGTGGTTAGTTTTTGTAGGCTATTCCTCATATCTCTTTCTTCCAAATTTATAAAACTAAGGGCCCGATTGGATTATTTTGCCACTGGCATTAAATGTTCTGGTTACGCCACTGGTAAAAACAAATAATGAATGGTAAACGGTAATTTTGTACCTGGGTACAGTACCTAGTACAGTACTACAGTATATTGTTTATAATCTATAACTCAGACACTTTGTATGGTCAGGTAAAAATATACATTACAGAACGCTTTGTAATTTGTGATATTCTATACATTTTTATTTTTATTTTTTATTATTTATACACAACACATACCAGCGCATGGTTCAGCAGGTACAATAACAGTATGATCTATATAAATAGAAAACATGAACAATTTCAATGAAAAATATACCAATTGATGACACTTACGTATATTATTTTCTATTATAGGTACCTACATAAAATATACCTATATTATAAATATAAATTATACCTAAGTAGGTAGTAAACATATATAATGTCAAACTTAAAAATTATGTTTCAGTTAGAAATTAATAAAAATTTTAATTTTATAATTAACATTAGACATTTTGATTCCCACCAAGTTTTTCTACCTTCATCAAAAAAAAAAGTACCGCCGAACCGATTATAAAAAAAATGCTTTATTATACTAAATAAAAAAAACCATCAATCGCGTTTTGCCTTAACAAATTACAACAAAATAAGAAAATCGCTATTTTAACAACATTAGAACTTTAAACACTTCTAAGAAAAAATTGTGACTGTATTTTTAATATTTTTCAACTGATATTGTAACAATATAATATAATATTAAATGTTCAAGCTTTAAAATGTGATTGACATTTATAGAAAAAAACTTAAAAATTGGAAACTGAAAATGTCCGTAGGTAAACCATTCAGAACAAGTCAAATTATTTTGAACATTTTATCGTGTAGGTATAGAAAATTCTTATATAAACATTCAGAAAAAATTGCATGTAACTTTAGTTATTTGTTTTAGAGTTACACCAAAAACCAAAATTAATTTTGTCAAAAACCTATTTTGCTTAAAAATTCCCGTTTTTCCTTAATTTTTATTTTTTTTTCCCCGGCGCTTTTAAAAAAATTTTGCACGGGTCCACTTTTCTCGCACCATATTTGTTGTAGATCTAAAAAAATATTCACAACACGTAAAGAAGAACTATTTCTGTGCAACGGGGTGCTTTTTTTTAATAGCACTATCCAATCATTTTTATTAAGCGAAAGAAAAAAACCAAATTTTTAGAAGCCAATAACTTTTATTGTATTTGTGTTATCTAAAATATGGGCAAGCTGTTGCATAGATAATTTTCCATCCTATGTGTTGAGAAATTTTTGAGCCACTACTATACAAAGAAAGAAAGATAAAAGTTGTCCCGCGCAAAACAGTTTTTGCAATGTTGTACATATTTGTAAGACGAGGACAACACATGACAACTTATATAAAACTCTCCTTAAACCCATTTGGATGTATGGCATCCAAATATGGGGCTCTGCAAAAAAGTCACATATAAACAAAATTCAAATAACCCAAA